AGCGGCGAGTAGTGAAAGATTAGATGGTGACATATCCGGGAAACAGGATTGACAGTGTCAAAAAAAAAAAATTAAACTCGTTCAAAAGAACAAGAATGTTTAAAGTGTTATAAATATAGTATCTATTTACATTGTGTTAAGGATTTTGTTTGTGTTATCTTAAATTTTATTTCTTGGTTAATTAATGTTTTGGAGTCATATTTGTGTTGTAAACGGAGATACATGTTCATTTTTTTTAATTAGTGTCATGGCGACGCCAGAGGAGCAGATTCAACTCCTACAGGAACAATTGAAAGTATTGCAAGCAAATGATAAACAAGTCATGGCTGTGTCTGCGAAATTACCACCATTTTGGACAGACAGGCCATCTGTATGGTTCGGTCAGGTTGAAGCACAATTAGAGATTTCAGGTATAACACAGGATCGAACGAAATACAACTATGTAGTTGCGGCTTTAGAATCTAGGGTTGCAGGTGAGATATCTGATATTATAGAAAATCCGCCAAAAGAAGATTGTTACCAGTATTTAAAAACAGAACTTATTAAGCGCCTCTCCGCATCAAGGAAGGAAAGACTACGCAGACTGTTAGGGGACGAAGAGATAGGGGACAGAAAACCGTCCCAGTTTCTTCGTCATTTGCGTGATTTAGCTGGTTCTGTTTTAAAATGTGACGACATTATCCGCCAATTATGGACAAGGCGTCTCCCAACCAGTATTCAATCTATACTAGCTACGCATGAGGATTTACCATTGGAGAAGGCGGCGGATATGGCAGATAAAATAGCCGAGGTAGCTAGTCCGGTGACCGTACAAGCGGTGCAAGGGCCATCGTCAGAGATGACTGTCCTTCTTTCGCGCATCGAAGCTCTTGAAGCTCGTACAAGGGTTTCTAGGTCGCGTTCAAGACCCCGAGGGGCGAATGTAAGAACTCGATCGGGGTTTTTACTTACTTTTATACACAAAATTTAACGTATTTTAAATTAATATCAAAACGTACACTAGAATAATTAATTAATTGAGTAGGTTTACTTATTTTTAATTTTTTTATGTAATAAAAGAAAACATGCCTAAATACTATCAATAATAAATCAAATAAAATAGCCACATCTATATAAACATACTCGTAGGTTCATTGTGTTTGTGTAAAAAATATCTCAATTAGACACTTCCAGTGTAACATATTCCATTGTTAAATTACAAACAAACAGTAAACCTTTGCGTCGTAAGACGTAGCGTTTAGTTGCGTTGCATTCTGCGAGGGGATTCTGTTTAATCACCGACCAGCGGTAAATAAACAAGCCATTCGGGAGACAATAGATTCTAACATATTACATAGTTACCTAGATATTAGAATTTATTATATCAATATGCTTCTGTCATTGAATTACTGGACAATGCAGTAGATATTTTAGATGGAGATAAAACAATATATTAAGAATTACAAAATATTTATTACAGTTCCTCTAGTATGCGAATATCCGGGCGTCGATGAACAATCTATGTTTCCGCTGCTCGTTTACTCCCTTCTCTTATAAAAACTTCGATCGAATATCACATTGGTACGGCGGGATTCGAACCCAAGGCCTGTAGATTACAAGTCAAATGCTTAAACCACCGAGTCACGGACGCTCTTCAGACGTATATTCTGGAAGAAAACATAGTCTACTTGCTTTTGTTTTAATTCCAAGTAAATGGAGACGCGGGTAAAAGCTAGTAAATAACAATGAGAGTAAGAGGTCAATACTCTGGCATTGCTTCCGTTATTCCTCTACGTAACTATTGTCAGGGCTGTATTTATAGCTTGCAATTATGACAGCTTGTGACCGCAATACACTATTGCGGTTACCTCACTGTCCGTAGAATGTCAACCAACCAGTATCTGTACTTTTATGTACTTGCCTGCGGCTTTGTGTGCATGCGAATTTTATTTTGCTGTCTATTTACAGATGGACCGGCCTAGAGTGTAACGCTGGTGGAGTCAGAGGATGTAGTCAAATTTACAATACTGCTCCTTTACGTTACTATTTTATCTATATTAATATTATAATGAGAAAATATTTGTATTTTTGTATGTATTGAAATGACTCAAAAACTACTGGGCCGATTTTAAAAAATCTTTCACCGTTAAAAAGCTACGTTATCAGTAAGTAACATAGGCTGTATTTCTTAATATTTTACAATTTCACGCGGACGAAGTCGCGAGCAACAGCTAGTCCATAATAATATTAAGAGGAAAGATTTGTATTTTTTGATTTTTTGGTAGTATTGTAATAACTCAAAAACTACTGGGCCGATTTTAAAAAGTCTTTCACCATTAAAAAGCTATCGCTGATCATAAAATAGGATATCTTTTTCATATTTTACAATTTCACGCGGACGAAGTCGCGAGCAACAGCTAGCCTATACTAATATTAAGAGGAAAGATTTGTATTTTTGTATGTATTCGATTGACGTAAAAACTTGTCCGATTTCAAAAATTCTTTCACCTTTTGAAAGGTAATTTATCTATGAGTAATGTAGATTACATTTTTTAATCTCACGCGGACGAAGTCGCGAGCAATAGCTAGTAAATATATTTCTCAATTGAAAGTAATAATACAAAATTACATTGTAATAACAAGTAATGTAATAATTTCCTCGCAGACATGTCTTTATATAAACTATAGTTTTACGTTTTATTTCCTAGAGATGGGAAAAAAGTTCGAAACGAGCTTTTGATGACCGCCCTGTTAATGATTGCGATGGGCGCTTTGTAATGTGTGCAAAGAATTAAATTCCATTCCCACTTTGATCTAATACCGTACGACTGATATTATTTAGAGCTAGAATTACACACATATGTTACTATAAGTTTTGAAATAATTGTCTCGAGAACGTCCAAATATTACACTGAAATGGGGTAAATATTTCACAGAAATTCTCACCGAATGGGTAGGGAATTAATTTACTTAACTTTTTATTAATTGAGTAGGTTTACTTATTATTGTAGAAATGCGCAGTTGCATTTGTTTTATCATTTCATTTATTTCAGATTTGAAATTATAGTTTGTCTAAATAAGATATAGTTTGTTAAATGACGCATATGAAGTATCGAATTCAATTTGTATGAAAGCAAATGCCGTACTTAATAGACAGGTATCGTAGTGACAAAACAAACACGCATAGCGAACAATTTTGAACTATCGATATTCGGTTTTAATGTTTATCGAACTGAACTTAAATTGCTATTTTCTTATAACTAATTTATAGGACAATTCTAGTATTGATTATAGTGTAGCGAATTTAGCGGTGACAGAAATAATAGCGAAATCCAATTCGATTACATATGGCTGTGCAGTAATAAACATTTTTTTACTCTCATTATCTGTTATGGTCATTATTAATTTGAGAAAACAGTGTTTTTTTTTTTAATTCATAAGTTATAACTATGAACTATCGATTTCACCTTCTATAAGAATAAAAATCGAAAATCTTTAAGATTCATGACTGATTTTACACAACCCGTCCCTACTAAATTTGAAATGAATTGTCAAACTAATCCAAATTATTTAGACACACTATAACGGGATTTCTAATAAAACAATTTAAAGTTATGAAAGATATATTTCGGAAACAAATATTATGAGAATAATATTTCGCATGCAGAGAATAAAAAAAAACACTTCCATTCAAAATGATTTCTATACATTTCTTATTACTAGTAAACAGGTGTTTCTATATTTTTTTGGAACAATATGGCGGTGGATAAAAATAACAATACAAAAAATAACCACAAAAAGACTTCAATATTATAGTCAAAGACATCTGGCCTGAGGAAACGCAAATATCGTTGATTCTGTTAGAAAATATACCTACAAAGGTATAGACAACGTATAAAAGAAAAAAACATATGACAGCTACAGTACGAAAATGAACTTATGACCACTGACCTTTATAAATAGACAGATTATAAACAAAGCTACTAAGTGTCTATTTGATTTACCCCTTCTTGGTTGGTCACGATAAAAGTTTTTGAATCAACAATATTGATACAGCCTTACAAATTAACGCGGTTATTTTAGGTTAGGAATAAACCAAGTATAGGCAACAATTTACAATTTTAGCCCGCGTTTATTTGTAAGGCTGATAGACTTTACTGTTGTTTACTAGAAAAGGCCCGTGTAAGTAGGAACAAAGCTAAGTTTGTCATTTTAAAACAATCGCCTATCTGTTTATATATATCTACGTCGTCGGATCAGATATCCTTGTCTACCTTTTTAATCTGTATTTTAAATTAAATGGTTTTATTGTAAGGCTAAGAACAATCGTAGAAATGAGGTTGAACAATTTAAAAAAATTATCTATGGTGTATCACAGAAATTATCTGTCTATATAAAATCTTTGAAAAATTTTCTATCTAACTTAGAATTTTTTTTTCATATTTGAATCTTTAAAATTATTAAATTTAAAAATTGTATTATCTGTGATCGTTTTTTTTTGATAAAAAAAAAGAATTTATACATAGTTTCAATACAGAACTGGCCTACAATTTATTATTTTGTACAAAAGATAACATTACAATTAACAAAATGGCGTTAACAATATTTTTTCTCCATTTAAAAAAAATACTGAATAGCTAACATCAGTGTTTTATACAAAAAAAATAAAGTTGGAAAACACAAGTTTAAGAGCCTGTCCCAACGAAAACTATCTAACAATCCAACGTGTAAAATATGTGATGAATATCGGATTTTGTTACCTTATTTGTCAGTGACGTCATTCAGCTATTTGAGCCTCTATCAGCCAGTGGTGGGACAGGCCCTTAATATATGTACTTACATTTTTGAGTCGCAATTAAATAAAATACATTGGAAATGCATAAAAAATCGTTGAGCAAATATTTTACAATACTATTTGTAATTACCTTGCTTAAATAAAATCTCAATTAAATGGAAAAATACTGAAAATTACATTAAATACGTAAATATGGTATTTATAAAATAATTTTTCACAAAAATGTAGAATACAATATTTTTTTTTCGAATTTTGAATTTTTAATTTAACAAAACAATTACGAAACGCAAAATGTTCTCAATCACGTAATGAAATACACCAAAATTAGTCACATGACCAGATTTTATATAAAAACTGTACATTTCACTAGCCTATTTCACTATTTACAATTCAGTCCGTGTACAATAAGTCTATTTAGGAACATATAATTACACATTTGCACATAAATGTCTCTGATAGCAATTCACCTACACAAGGCGAAAAAGCCTTCGCTATACATTTGTTCCTTGCGAAGATTCGTTACCTGTAAAAGAAAACATGTGTTATTTTTTGCTTGAAACAGCAGACAACTACATAATATAAAAAAAAATTGAATCACAGTGTTCTACAAAATTTTTATGTGCTTATATTTAACTAGCTGTTGCTCGCGACTTCCTCTACGTGAAATTAAAATAATAATAATTACAGACGAATTGAGTACCTCCTTCTTTTGGGAAGTCGGTCTAAAATATAGCCTATGTTACTCACTGATAACGTAGCTTTTTAATGGTGAAAGAATTTTTGAAATCGGCCGAGTAGTTTTTGAGTTATTTCAATACATACTAACATACAAATCTTTCCTCTTCGTAATCATACTAATATTATAAATGCGAAAGTTTGTTAAAGTTTGTAGCCTTAACGGCATAACGGATTTCGATGAAATTTGGCATAGATGTAGAGAAAAGTCTGGAAGATCACATAGGCTACTTGTATTACTTTTATTATATTTCCACGCAGACGGAGTCGCGGGCGAAAGCTAGTATTAGTATATAGATTTTAAGACCCCTTTTACACTAAGATTATAACAAGTAGCTAACCGGATGATTATATTTCTAATGAAAGTATACATTTATTGGAATTAAATACATTTCCACTGCTAATGCCTTGATTACAGACATAATAATCTCTTAAAGCCAATTTGTAAATTACTATTACAAGTAATCATTAAGGCGTTCCGAAATCGAATTTCAAACACATTGTAAATTTAAATTCAACGAAAGTATATTTCCCTTATTAATTGGTTCTGTACATTGACAATTTTGTTTCGAACCCTTCAATCAATCTATGAATATTACATACAACACACTATGGTACTATCGGGGAATTTCGCGGTGTTTGACATAAAAAGTTAAAGTATTTTAAACGTTTTAAACACATTAAGACAACACGAAAAAATAGATGTCTATACTAATATTATAAAAATGAAAGATTTGTATTTTTGTATACATTGAAATAATTTAAAAACTACTAGGCCTATTTGAAAAATTATATCACCACTTACATTTTCATTGAGTAACACTGGTTGGTTTTTTTAATTAATTTCACGCGGACGAAGTCACAAGCAACAGCTAGTAACCTAAAAGACGTTGCATTTAATTGTTTGTGTACGAAAAAACGCTGATTGCTTTTTTAATATCATCGTTTCAACTCATTGCTGCATATGTATTGGTTATTTTTTATTTTATTTTTATTAAATTATTCCATTAATTAAATAAAGATTAATTATTATGTTTAGAATGTACATTTCACTTAAACTAAGTAAAGTAATTTTAAATTTTTATAAGATGCGGATTATCTCATTGGAATAAGGAACCTTTTTTGTAAAAGGAACACCGCGTGTAGCTATGATAGTACCAACGGCAGGCCAGTAATTATTAATAACCACGTATTGTAAGTAATTATAGGTGACCCCAAAAAAGGTTTGACAAAGTTCAATCAATACTATCCGTATATCATTTGTATTAGAAATTCGATATTATTATTGTGAATATTTACTGTTTTAACATGATTTTAAATTATTACTTTAACAATAGAGTCCCATAGAAAAGTATAAAGTCAGTACACATGTCAGTAGATTTGGTAACCAGTTAGCATTTTGCAACAGCAATGTGTAAAGTCGCAGAAGGGGGTATGAATTTTGACGCTGGAGATGTCGTGTCATCATGGCAGTACCTGGTCTACTAACGTGTATTTCCGCTTTTATTTAATGCTACTGGATTTATCTTTATATATACTAATTTTATAAAGAGGAAAGATTGACATTTTTATATATATTGAAATAACTCAAAAACTACTGGACCGATTTTAAAAATTCTTTCACCATTAGAAAGCTACGTTATCACTGAGTAACATAGGATATGTTTTTTTCACGTGTAAGTCACGAACAACAGCTAAACCACAATAACATGACAATTACAATCAGTTATACTAACTAAATTGGTATTCAAGGATGTTTTTTTACAAAAGAAAACGATAAAATGAAATGAAAATTGTTAAAACAACATCATAATGATTGCTCAAACAAATCTTCGCAAGGCAAATTGTTGGTATCGTTTGGATAAGTAATTGTATTGATTGAGTAAAATGCTCTGTCAATAGCGGTTTGCGTTTAGAAACGGTTCCTAATAATATCAGGCATTTTAATGTTTTTTTTTTATATACAAAAAGGTGACAAACGACCAAGCGGCCACCTAAATCCGCAAAAATGGCGAAGCGACCGCTGCACATAGACATCCGCAATTGCAGATGCGTTGCCTACCCTAAATCGACGAAGGAGAAGCACATAAAAAGGATCTTTCCTCATCCTATGCGTCTCCTCCACCGTCAAATCCACTTTCCCATCCATCAATATCTTAAAGAAAAAGGTGGGACGGGAAAGGGACTAAAATTGGGCCTTTGGCACCACACTCATCAGACGAAACGCGGAATTGCTTCCATTTCACGGCTGTCTTCTGTGTGGTCGTGGTATTTAACCAGGCGAGCCGACCCATTCGTCCGAAGATGTTAAAGCGGGCTCTACCACTGTTAAGAGCACACACCTTGGATTAAACAATCGCATAAGTGTTTAATCGTGATTTGATTTCTATGATCTTATACACTACTCGATTTTTAATTGTGCAACTAAACAGTTGAGTTTGCGAAACAATCGACAATCACACAACTGTTATGCGATAGTTAAATCAAAGGTGTTTGCGTGCTCTAACTATTTGTACCTGAACATATCTGCTTATAGAGTCAACAAATGAGTAAGTATTCTTTAGTAATATAAAGTGGTTTATTAATTCTAAAATAAGTCAAGATGAAACGCGTCACGTTTAGTTGCATTTCGTTACAAGAAAGAGAAAGTAATATTAAGATTCACAAAGAGTGAAAGAGAGACATCAACAATACTTTAGTTATGTAAGTAAACTCATGCTATATACTTATGTATTTACCTATATTTGGTGTCGGTTATGTACCTGGAGGCATAGCGACAGAGCTTCTGACAGCTGAGTACGGCGGCGGCGCAGGTGTGGCTGCGGGCTTCGCCGTATGCACTTGACTTCCGTACCCTATTGAATAAGAACACTTAATTGCAAAGAAATCAAACTGCAGCATGAAATAAGTATATTTATTTGAGAACTCAATAAATGAATAATAAAGTGTGCTAACTAAGGTGAAAACGCTAGCAGAAGTACATAATCAAAGCAAAGTCCCGCTATCTTGCTGTCCCTATGTATGTTTGGATCTTTAAAACTACGTAATACATTTTGATGCAGTTTTTAGCAGATAGAGCATTTCAAGATGAAGGTTTATAATACATTCCGCGTGTAATTAAATAATAAAAAGTATAGCTTATGTTAATCACTGATAATGTAGCTTTTTAATGGTGAAAGAATTTTCAGAATCCAACCAGTAGTTTTTGAGATATTTCAATACATACAAAAATACAAATCTTTTCTCTGTATTACATTAAGTATAGGTGATATAGTAGAGAAATACTAATATTTTTAGGGGTTACTAATACTTAGCAAGCGGATTACTAGTTAAGACTTAACATATTAAGTACTACGAGTACTAACCGGGCAGAAGAACTAATACTGGTAAGATATAAATAAAACAATAAATTAAAATTATAAATACCATTAAAATTAAAAATAATTAAGATTAAAATTTCCAAGTAATTTTGTAATTAATGTCGTATTTGTTTAAATAAATATTTTAACTTACCAACAGAACTATTCCTAAGATAAGGGTTTCCGTAAGTCGCGGCATATCTTAAGTCGATGCCTGCGTTGCCTTTATTGTTCGGCTGTGCGTAGATCGGCGTAGGAGGGTCTGTGAGAACGGTACACAAATTAAAACATCAACCCACTTTCATAATGTGTTAATATCGAAGTATACCTACCACTTGGTACAGTCAATGCAAGTGTAAATATTTATGAAATTTTAAAAGCTTGTATACGCTCGGTTTTAAAAATATGAGAAAAAGGAGAACTAATATTATAAATGCGAAAGTTGGCACTTGGCATCAAATTCTGAGTGTATTGGTAATTTTTCTATAGAATTTTGACTTACTTTCTCCACCCAAAGGCAGTCCTAGATTATTTATCGCATCGGTTTCTTCGGACGGTTTCGTTCGTTGCAATGAGTTAGTTTGAGATCCATTGCCGGCTGACAAAGGAAGAGTTGACGTGGTATCAATACTGCGCGTCAATGAACCTTGCAGCGACCTGTGTATTTAAATTCTCAATTAATCCAAAATTAATATTATGTTTTAAATTACTGCGCAGGCACAAACTTAATAAAAGTGTTATTTTCAAAAGATACGGCTTTCTTACCACGATTGAATTGTTTTAGCACCCGATATTTCGGCACAGTTGCAAGCGCCATGTTCACAGGCTGATCTAAGTGACGCGGTAGTGTGAAAAAGGTCGTGGTAAGAAATTCGTATCTTACGAACATTATATTTGTAAAAACCATGACTGTTTGAAGTTAAAAAAAAGTTGTTAACAAATCAAAAAAGATTCGTTAAAACTTAAGTTTTAATATTTAAATAGTAGGTGAAAATTAAGTAGAATGAATTAATCTTAATGTAGACTTTACTTACCTATTAGGTACCTCCAACTGTGTTGGGGATTGGACCCTCAAATGTGGAGGAGGGACATAACCCTGAGGGTAGTCGTACACATAGCCCGCGGGGTTCTAGAAATATTAATACATGTTACAACTTTACAATTAATTTTCACAACTTAGGATATCAATATTCAACTTAAGTTCTGAGTTATAAATACAAGCATATTTCACTAGTTTGAAAAGTGTATTAACATATCGCTAGTATCACATATGCATCATCATACCCTTCTCCCTACGGATCAGCACAGTGTGCTCCATACATCTCTATCAGCCGTCATATCTGAATTCACTCTCTTCTTAGTAATATCCTCTTTCACACAATCTATACTTTTCCTAGTATTTCATATGACTTACAATTTTCCAATTCAATAGCAAATAAACTGTCCTTTGATAGCGTAAAATTAAATGTAAATGAATTTGTAACATATTCCAAACGTAATAAACACCTAATACTCTATCTCTATCGCACAATTTTTTAGTCTCGCTTTGACTCCTATGACCTTACATGCGCACACTACTCGAATTTTAGTTGTACAAACAGTTGAATTGGCTGCGAATCGACAATCGCACAACAGTTGTGCGTCCGCTCTAAAAAATCGGTATCATAAAACTTCATACAAGCTTACAAGCGCCCTATTGGCTGATAAAATGAGAAGGGATGAATCGCATGTAACAAGAAGGACGTTAGTTATGAAAGAGGAGTACACCGGTAGAGGTAGACGTAGAAAGAGATGGATGGATTGCGTGAAAGGTGACATGATCAAGAAGGGAGTGATGACTGAGATGACGGATGATAGTTATTTGGAGGACGAAAATCCGGCGCGCCGACCCTACGGGAATAGGATAAGGCAGAAAGATGATGATGATGATTGGCTGACAAAAAATCTAGTCAGTGGCTATTAACTATTGATTGAAGATTTTAAAAAGTATAAAACTTACCTTAAAATATGGATCATTGTATGTAGGGTCCGAATAATCATTACTATATCCATATTGCATAAGTGGATCGTCATGTCGTATGTTCGGCATTACCACGGGACCAGCGAGAGGAAGCCCTGCTGGGTTCTTTATCTCAGAACGATCTGAACTCGTGTAGTCCTGGTAATGGAATAAACTTGTGAGAAATAAGAACCTTTTTTATTTTTTTAATCCTAACCTAACAAATGATTCCTAACCTAACAGCAACCTTACTGCTTAGGCAATATTTAGGAGTAATCTGTTAAAATTGTGCAATGTAAAATTTGTGATTTTAATTACTGACGCGTGATTAGTTTTTTAATAATTATGGAATTTATTTGTTAGAAATTGAATTCGACTAAAGTAGTCACGTTCTAAACGTAAAGCATTAAAATTTGTAGCATTTACTTCTGTTTTGTAATTATTATTATTTCACTTACCAATTCATAACTGCCTTCACTCTGACCAATTTGTAATTTCAAATCGCTGATATTAGAACTCCTATCACTCTCTTTGTACATATCTCCCGTGGTGACTGTTACATCTGGCTTTTCATTTATTTGTTGACCCTTCTTTCTTCTTCTTCTATGGCATATCACGAGAAGAATGACGAAAGCAGAGAAGATAATAATACCAGAGGTGACTCCGATCAGAATGATGAAGAGCGGAAGTGTTTCTACAAAAGATAAAACATTGTATAGCTGTCATTGTATTTAATAATAAGTTTAGACTATACCATCACTCAATGCTTTTCAAATTTGATTCAGATTCATTTAGCTGTTCAGGAATTATGTGTTAACATAACACCCAAATTTTAATTTTTAACAGAGAATGATTAGACAGATGAAAGAACAAATCTTAGTTAGTTAAGTAACATTATGAATGCGAAAAATTTTATGGATGGATGGATGGATGGTTGTTACAGTTTGTAGCCTAAACGGCTGAAGGGATCTCGATGAAATTGGGATAGATGTAGAGGATAGTCTGGAAGAACACATAGGCTACTTGCTCTTGTTTTTTTTTAATTCCGCGCGGAGGGAATTTCGGGTGAAATCTAGTAAGTTTAAATTTTAAATAATCTTGCCATTATTAGTGATAACTTCTTGTATTATTAACATCTGATTCGTTTCGTTATAATTTTATATGACTAGCGAGAGAAACGCGACTTCGTCTGCGTGAAATTAAAAATTAATAAAAAAGATATGTTATTATGCCTATGTCACTCACAGGTAAATTCCCTTTCTAAAGATGCAAGAGTTTTTCAAATCGTTCAAAAAGTTTTTGTGTTATATCAATACATTCAAAAATACAAATCTTTCATCTTTATAACATTAGTATAAATAGACATTGCATGTTTACTCACTTAAAGGCTTCAAAGCAATAGCCGCGTTCGCATTCCCGTATTCATTCGTAACACTGCAGTTGTAGAGTCCGTAATGTTTAGACTGGCTCGCTCGTATCACTAGACTAGATTTAACAACGCCGTCAGGTAAGGTCTCTTCTAAAGTCGCGTAATCCTGATAACAAATGCATGAAGTTTAGTGTAATGCTTCTATTGTAATAATACGTCTGATTTCTATGTAAAGAGAGGTCCATGACCATGGTAATCTAATTTGAATGTTCCTTAACTAATCTTCTTGTAGACCGTATTCAAAATTCTATCTGTAAACTGACTCTACACTAGTTCTTAAACAAGAGAAGCCATCTTTATTCCAGCCCCGGCACATTTTGTGCTGTTCCATACATCTCTATCATCCGTCATATCTGAATTCACTCCATTTTCTAAAATATCCACATTCACAAATCATACTTTCTACAGTCCGCTTGTACCTTTGTAAACATCCACATTCAATCTTAGATTCCTCCTAAATTTCTTATTTAAGTCCATCATCGCTGAGCATATGTCTCATAGTCTGAAAAGGTTGGCGATAACTTCCACCTTATATCAATTTTAATAATAATAATGAATAATAGTTAAAAACTTACTGGGTCTTGTATGACACTGATCTCTCGACCTTCGAAGTACCATCTAATATCATCAGGCTTTGGTACTGAGAAAGCATCGCATTCAACTCTCACCATCTCACCTTCTGAACCAAATTGTGTTCTGTTCGATAAGATTTTCGGTACACCTAAAAATAAACGTTATTGTTACGAAGATAAGGTTGATATTCTAAAGAATATGGAACAGGGTAATTTCTAAGAACCAAAGATTTCACTGACAATTGTTTACCATTTCATGACTCTTAGCTTTCTAGAGGATACTGGAAGTTAAAATAACTATGATTAGTTAGACTTTTAATTTCCATATATCTCTATTTCTTAATCTCTATATAATAAGAAATAAAGATATATGGAATCATTCATCATTTTACAAGATTTGTATAAAAATAAAATAAAATATGAATATTATATAAAAATAGAACACCACCGGCTGCGGAATCCGATGACTCAAGCAACCAGTGGTCAGGGCTGCAGAGACAGGAACCTCCTCATTATTCGTGCGATTTCTAAAATAACCGCCTTTTGAATCGGGCCCTATACAACTGTCTAGCGAGAGCTTCTTGAGGTGTTGGTCGAAGCTCTTCGCTATTAACCCGTGTATCGAAATGACTATCGGAATAATGGTAGTCGATTTCATACGCCAAGTAGTTAGACTTATTATTATTATTAAAATGGAAATGGAAGATTATATTTTCTTACTTTTAATAAAGATAGTAGCTTCACTCTCTACTTCTGGATATCCATCGACTATAGCCTTACAGATGTAGCTGCCCGCGGTATCGTTGTTCACGGTCACCTTCAAGTTTGAAGCCTTCCCTTTAACCTGCTGAAGATATTGCACGTTCATATAAAATAGTTTCTATTGAGGAATTATTAAAGAGTTATTTTGTAGAATTAATTGTCTCTCTTTGCCCTGCACTGGCGCCGCTCAGGGAGCAGACGGAATTCTGAAAGCTGCCCCAGAATAATAAGAAATTTTAAAATGCTAAAGAATTATCATATACATTTACTATTTTATCCATGTCCTTAAAACATTTCTTTTAAGATCTACTGTATTGTTTCAAATCTTGCATAAAATTGTTACATTTATCATAGTATTTATCTCTATCAAAGTATTCACTTACCCCGATCCTGCCTGGTTCGTGGAATAGCCACCTGATACCCGGCTCTGGCTGGCCGTCGACGTCACAGCTCAATGTTACACGCGTGCCTACCTCCGCCTCGATGTTCTTTGGTCGACTTCTAAACGACGGTGGATCTATAGTTCAGAAGACCAATTATTATAGTATTTACATCTTACTAATATTATAAATGTGAAAATTTAGATGGATGGATGGATATTTGTTAGAGTTTGTAGCCTAAACTGCCGAACGGATTTCAATTAAAGTTAGCATAGGTGTATAGCATAGTCTGAAAGAACATATAGGTTACTCGCTTTTTTTTTAATTCTACACGGACGGAGTCGCGGGCAAAAGCTATTATTACATCTAGATGGGCTAATCTTGGTGACCTTAGTGTCTCTTTCACTTTTTTTTTAATAACATAAGGTGGCAAACGAGCAAGCGGTCACCTGAATCCGCCAAAATGACGAAGCGACCGCTGCCCATTGACATCCGCAATTGCAGATGCGTTGCCTACCCTTATACGACGGAAGAGGAGACGCACAAAAAGAGGATATTTCCCTTTCCTATGCATCTCCTCACCGTCAAATCCACTTCCCCTTCCCATCCTCTCCTTATAAGAAAAGGGTGGTAAAGAGAAAGGGACTTAAATTAAGCCTCCGGCACCACACTCATCAGACGAAACACGAAATTGCTTCCATTTTACGCCTGCCTTCTGTGTGGTCGTGGTGTTACACGGTGCGTGCCGGCCCATTCGTGCTAAGATGTTAAAGCGGGCACTACCACTGTCAAACTGCCACTGTTTATTCTACACGGACGGAGTCGCGGCCAAAAGCTATTATTACATATATGAGCTAATCTGTGTGACCTTAGAGTGTCTCTTTCACTTCTATATTGCTATTGTATATTTGTATTCTGTCAAAATTAAATCCTAAATTTGAATCAATTGTTTTTAAGACATCAACAAGCAATTGCTATTTTAAGCCAGAGTAATCAGATAATATCCGTTAGTAACAAGTATGTGAACAAAATACACAAGGTTAAACATATTTCGTGCACTATACAATAATTTCAAGACAAATTTGTAGGTTAGTTATTTTAAAATAACTTACATGTTACATCTAAGTTCAAAGTTCCCTCATTCTGGCCCACAGCATTACTGACTTCGCATTTCACAACTGCTTTGTTATGTTTTCGAGATACGTTGAAGATGATCTGAAAGAATTCAAATTGATAATAACTAGGAAATTGACAAAGAAATTAAAATCAGGATTTTAACGGTTAATAATTAGTAGACATTCATTTCTAAGACCAAGAATAGAATATAACAAAACATTATATTTCAGAAAAATATAAAACTAGTTTCTTAACGTCCAAAATTCATGTTACAAAGAAGTCAATTGGGACGCCTCCTGACGATATTTTGTTACAATATTAATAAGACTATACGTATCAATAACTATTAAATAATTGATTATTATTAAGGGTTTTATTTGTAAATTCAATCTTAAAACTATTATTCATGTGCTTAGTAACTCCTGGGAAATAAGTTCCCGTCTTTAGTATAGAAAATATCCTTACAAATAGATCGATCTCTAAATAAACAATCGAGCTTTTAGCTAACAAGAAGTTTGCGGTAAATTACGTATAGGGTTGACCATCCGGTCTTGCCCTTTGCCATTAACTACACAATATGAAATGTAGCAACCCTAACAGCTAATATGACGTCACTAACAAAGTACCCTTCAATATACAAAGTTTAAGTTACAAACTTGAAATTAATAACACGCTATCAACTTAATGCTAGCTTCACAAGACAGAATAGTGGAACAACGGAATGTAGAATAGCACTATTATTTGTACGCACACACCATAATACAGAAGTCATTTTGGACCATGCCAACAATTACGATATTTCATTTTATTAGTTATTTTGCGAAAGATAAAGTAATAATTCGGAATTTCAGAGTTTAAACATTTTGCAGTTTGTCTACAATTTAGTATTTGGATTAGAACCAGGTTTAAAATTGCGTTCAAATAATGTACTGTATTATCTACTGATCTGGCATATTCATTTACCATCGTGTGTCACTGGCATAAGAGTAGTGAAACTTGAATATTGAGGCTTTTGAATATTTATCGAGAGACCTCCGTGTAAATAAAGAGCTTTGCAAACTTAGAAATGCTAACTTGATGATTGCTTTAGTTTTAATAACCTATCTCAAGTAATATAAAAGTGGAAAGTTAAGTTGTATGTATGTAATGGGTATACTCAAAAACTACTTGACTGATTTTAAAAATTCTTTTACCATTAGAAAGCTACATTAATCCTGAGTAACATAGGCTATTATTTATGTAACATTGTTGTAAATCTATACTATTATAATAAAGCGTAAATACACACTTATTTGTTGCCTAAGATGTCAGCAATTACAACACATTTTTAAATGATTATTTTTTTAATAAAAAGCCCTACACTTACGTCACGCTTTAGGCTATATATTTTCACGCCATTAAGCTTAGGGGGTAAATATTTTGGATAACAACCTTAATATGGGAAAGAGACCATAAATGCTGTCAACATCAAGGAAGCAAGATTGCCAAGGTTTGCCATGTCATGTCATTTTGACATTTGCTATTGATAATTTGACAAATGTAAACAAATATTTTTTTTAACTTCATGCGGATGAAGCCGCACGAGAACAGCTAGTGGTTTAATAAAGAATAACAACTGAAAGCGTAGATTATGTTATCGAGAATTATACTTGTTAACTCTTTACAATTGGTAGTTTTAAAAAATATGCCACAAAACACAATAAAATAGACATAGTAAAAATATTTACGTATATCTTTTTAGTATGAAAATACGTAAAGAACCTATGTAGATGAGGTAATTTAAAGAACAGCGCTATACAATTTCTTTCAGACTACAATTTCAAAATGAGGTGCATGCTCGTACACAGAAAGGAGCTCGGTACAAGAGAAAATGTCTGAAATAACTACGTACATTAGAGCACAAAAACGCCATCTAGCGCTTTGAAGATGCACTAATGTAATTGTGGGACTATTAAAATTATACTAGCTCTTGCTAGCGTCTTCGTCCACGCCAGAATATTTTTTTAATAAATACACATGTTACTCATTGAGCTAGTAGTATTATTATGTACGACCTGTTGCCCGCGACTTCGTTCGCGTGGTATTAGAAAACACACGAACTATATACATTACAAAAAGCTACGTATCCCTCGGGAACCGGACATTTCTTGGGGATGAAGCGTATCCCATGTGTACTCCAGACTTTGTTTTATATCTGTGCCAAATTTTAGTAAGATATATTGAACCGTTGCAGAATGATCGCATAAACATTAAAAAACTAAATTAATGTATCCCACGGGAACCGTAACTGTTCCCGGGATAAAAAGTAGCCTATGTGTTCTTCCAGACTATGCTCTAAACCTTTGTCAAATTTCATGGAAATCCGTTCAGCCGTTTAGGCTACAAACGCTAACAAACATCCATCCATCCATCCATCTAAACTTTCGCATTTATAAAATTTATATAGTATGAAGTAAGATTAGTAAGATTGGTGAAAGAATTTTTGAAATCTGCCTAGTAGTTTTTGAGTTATTTCAATGTAACTATACAAAAAAAAAAACAAATCTTTCCTATTTATAACATTAGTATAAATATTGCACCGGTTTTGTCCGAAAAAATAGAAAAATACCGAAACGTATAACTTCGTGTACTCGCTTTAAAATCGGATAAGTGTTTGACCAGCCGAAACAAAGAATGAAAACTTTTCTCTTTATGTTACCATGAAAATCCGCTTTCATAGCATTTGTTTCGTTTATTCTAAAAAGAATGAAAGAGATAGCAACTGTTCAAACAATAATACTCGCATAATAAAGGAGTTGGATAATTAACGATATTTGAACTCAAAGAAGCAAAACAAAAGAAAACAAGCTTTATAATTGAAGTTTACGTACGAATTGGCCGCAAGCGTGCAATTTCCTTTATTCATAGACGGTAGAATAAATTTTAAACGAGTTGCGAGTCAGTTTAATTTCAACGTACAACAATAAAGGTAATGTTGGCAATTATTGTAGTGAATTTCATCTCGTAGTCGTGTATATGGTGGGGCGCAGTATATTGAAAAATTCACACGTTTCCTGCAGCACGGTTACGTTATACCCTTAGGTTTGTGTACTATCGGGGAATTTTTAACTGTGGTAAAGCCCGCTTTAACGCATAGGAAGGGGAAATATCCTCTATATGTGCGTCTCCTCCTCCGTTGATTAAGGGTAGGCAACGTATCTGCAATTGCGGATGTTTATGGGCAGCGGCCGCATTCCATTTTGGTGGATTCAGGTGGCCGCTTGCTCGTTTGCCACCATATATGACAAAAAAAAAATTTAGTTTGTCTAAGATAGATTAGTTTGATAAATAAAGCATATGAAGTATCGAATTCAATTTGTATGAAGGCAAATTCTATACTTAATAGACAGGTATCGTAGTGACAAAACAAACACAAAACGATCGATATCGATATTCGGTTTAAATAAAATTTATCAAACTTAACTAAAATTATTATTTTTTTATTAACTAATTTAGAGGACAAATCTAGTATTGATTATAGTGTAGATAATTTAGCGATGACAATAATAATAGCGGAATCCAATTCGATTATTTACAAAAACAGTTTTTTTAATTCGTGAGTTAACTATAATAAGAATCTATCGATTCCAACGTCTTTAAGAATAAAAATCGAAAATCGAAAAGATTCATGCCTGATTTTACACAACCAATCCCTACTAAATTGTCAAGCGATTGTCAAACTAATCGATTTTATTTAGACAAACTATAGCAGCGTTACAATATCTACAGTCAATTGGATTTCAATAGCCAATTGGAAGCTTTTTAATTAAATGTGGTAATTGCATTTTATTATTATTCCATGGTTTGCAACTTTTTGTCACCTTATTGGTTATCTATAAAAGGCAGAGTTTGTCTATTTGTAAAGATGGTATTTAATGTGAAAGTGGAACACCGGGGATTGCAGTGATTGTACATTTTGCATGTTACATAACATTACTTGGATTAGTTGAATAAATTCGAAAAGCATGTACTGCTTTTGAAGTTATCCGTGTCGGGAAACAGGAGTGGTATTTCCGATACAGGGCACAGAGTAACAAATTTTACAGAGTGAACATAACACAGAATGTGAAATGTCTTACTATACTTGATCTATCAAAGTGGTATATAATTTCTATGAACTTACAGATCGACATTTTTTTTTTTTATAATACGAGGTGACAAACGAGCAAGCGGCCACCTAAATCCACCGAAATGGAAAGCGACCGCTGCCCATAAACATCCGCAATTGCAGATGCGTTGCCTACCCTAATTGACGGAGGAGGAGACGCACATAAAGAGGACATTTCCCCTTCCTATGCGTTTCCTCCACCTTCAAATCCACTTTTCCCTCCCATCCTTTCCCCTTAAGAAAAGGGTGGAAAGGAAAAGGGACTAAAGTTAGGCCTCCGGCACCACACTCATCAGACGAAACGCGGAATTGCTTCCACTTCACGCCTGTTTTCTGTGTGGTCGTGGTATTGCACCGGTCGAGCCGACCCATTCGTGCGAAGATGTTAAAGCGGGCTCTACCACTGTTAAAACTACGACATATTATAGTTGAAACATTTTTTTAAAGTGACTATTGGTTGTTAATTTGACAGCACCATAAAAGTACATATAAGACCGCGCTCATCATTGACTAAACTATCGCACAACTGTTTCTCGCTTTGATTCCTATGAGCTTATATGCGCACACTACTCGACTTGTAGTTGTGCAACTAAACAGTTGAATTGTCTGCGAAACAATCGACAATCGCACAACAGTTCTGCTATAGTTTAGTCAAATGTGTGCGACGGCTCTTACGGCCGGTTTCCCAGCTACATTTCACCATTCGTTAGTGTTTGTGGTTCGACAACTGCATGAAATCTGTTTCCAAACTACGTAACTTGAGTTTTACTTCGTTAAAAAAAGGTTATCCTAACAATAATGAATCACTAGGTAACGATGCGATAAATAGGAACTTCCGAATGTAATCTAATCACAATTTCACAAAGTATTTAAATATAACTCGTCAAATAACAAAAGGGCGGAGTTTCAATTTACCGGTAACATATCTCAACTCTGTTCATTCTTCAGTTGAGACGGAGTGTTGTCAAATTAAATATTATACAGACATAAAACATTCACACAGCATCTGCCTACGGCATACATTATTCTGATGAACCGAGCATCACCTCAGTAAATATATTCATGAAAAATTACCGAGTGAGGCGAGCTTGTCTTCAAAATATTAAGGCTTGTTTTATTCAATTACATTTCGCGAATTCCTTATGACTGTTTTGTGTGAGTTTTGTTAATTACACGTCTTATTTTGAGGTTATGTTTACGTTGAATCATTAATATGAAACTATAATTTAAAATAATCTTGTGGGATAAAATAAACGATGCAAATTCTATGATAAAATGAAATGAAATTCTTAAATCTATAATGTTAGTAATTTTATTAGGGAAAAAAAATATAATTATTACTTTAAAATAAAAACAGAATGTTCTAAATTCAGACTTTTACAAAACAATTTCAGCAATTTAAAACTTAATTCATCTTTTTAAATGACAGTTTTAATTTATTTTCGTATAAACCTTATGTATCTAGTCTGATTTATAAAAATATTAATATGTTTGTAAAATTTTATAGAAACCTTAACTAAATTTTTTGGATTTGTAAAAACTTTAATGGAATTTGTAAAAACTTTAATGGAATTTGTAAAAACTTTAATGGATTTTGTAAAAAGTTTAATGATATTTTTAACAATTCGGATTTGAAGTACTGAGGTAGCTTACCATTTCATCAGTATAATCACCAATAACTGGGTTGTTGTTGATATACCACCGGTACACCTGGGCTGGTGGGTTTGCGTCCACAGAACAACCGACTCTAGCCTCACTCCCTTCGGGTATCCTTCCTTGTACTGTCTCTGACTTTAGTTTGACTGTCACTTTTGGTGCATACTTCACCTAAAACAAGTTAAAATAAAGTAAAATAAAAATAAAAAAAAAATAAAAATCCTTTATTGAACTAAAACAGTTTAGTACAGTTAGTGGGACTCTGTCTCCTGAGGTAGTGATAACTGTGTTTCAGGAGGCAGCGTCTTCTTTTAATGATTGTCTTGCGGAATTTAAAATAAATTGTTACAAAATAAGATTAGAGAGTTATACATAAAAAAAAATATTTTGTTATAAGCTACTTGGTGTATTGTGTGTGTTTGTGTGTGTGAACGTGTGCATGCGTGTGTGTGTGTATATATGTATGTAAGTGTTTGTTTTTGTAAAGTAACATAAACTTTAGTAAAAAAATGGATTGAATATGTAATTTATCTCTCAAACTTAAAAAAAGATAAACGAAAATAAAAATTTATGCCAATTGTTTTCCGCTTTTTTTTTAAATTTCAATTGCCTTGTCCGCCTTTATAATAATTTTAGTTTAGTTCGATAATTTTTATTTAAACTGAATATCGATAGTTCATAATTGTTCGCTGCGTGTTTGTTTCGTCACTACGATACCTGTCTATTAAGTACGGCATTTGCCTTCATACGAAGTTAATTTGATACTTCATATGCGTCATTTATCGAACTAATCTATCTTTTTTAGACAAAGTATACTACACATATTTTTTTAATGTCTTAGACTATGACATACCTCGATATGCACAGTTGCCATCCTGTACGCTCTGTCAGCAGTATTCTGTGCTTGACAAGTAATTGTCCGATTGTGGTGTACCTTATTAGGTAGCAACCGCAACACTGACCTAAAACAATTGATACATTAGTACATATGTTTACTTGTTTAGTACGATTAAGTTAATTAATTTGTAACTTTAGACATTACAATCTATACTTAAATATTACTTATATCTATACTTCTATACTATTATAATAAAGCGTAAACACACACTTCTTTGTTGCCTAAGATGTCAGCAATTACAGCGTATTTTTGAATAATTCTTTTTTTTATAAAAAACCCTCCACTATCGTCACGCTTTAGGCTATATATTTTCACGTAATTAAACTTAGGGGGTAAATATTTTGGTTAAAAACCCTAATGTGGGAAAGAGACCATAAGTTGCTGCCAACATCAAGAAAGAAAGGCTGCTAAGGTTTGTCATGTCATGTCATGTCATTTTGACATTTGCTGTTGGTAATTTGGCAAATGTAAACAAATAAATAAAATTCTCATAATTTCATGCGGATGAAGCCGCACAGGAACAGCTAGTTACTAATGTTATAAATGCGAAAGTTTAGATGGATGGATAGGTTAGAATTTGTAGCCTAAACTAAGGAACGGATCTCGATGAAATTTAGCATAGATGTAGAGCATAGTCTGGAAGAATACATAGGCTACTGACTTTTGTTTCGTTTTAATTTCACACAGACGGAGTCACGGACGAAAGCTAGTTAATATAATAAAGCGTAAACACACTTTGTTATGCAGGATGAATTTTAAATATTTTTTTATAATAAAGCTCCACACTTACGACACACTAGGCTATTTCCTGCGTTGTAATTAAGTCATTAAAAATTTTAACATCTGTAATTGAACTAAATGTAAACAATAAAATAAAGTTTTTATAATGTCATGCGAATAAAGTCGCACGGAAATAACTAATTTGAAAATTAAACTAGCTCATACTAGTGACTTCATCCGCGAGGGATTTAAAAAAAAATTAATAAATATTTACATTCAGTGATGACATAGTTTGTTATAGTGATTTTTTTTTAAATCAGCTAAGTAATTTCCGAGTTATTTCTATACATACAATAATACAAATCTTTCTTTACAATCTATACTATTATAATAAAGCGTAAACACACACTTCTTTGTTGCCTAACATGTCAGCAATTACAACATATTTTTGAATAATTCTTTTTTTAATAAAAAGCCCTACACTTACGTCACGCTTTAGGCTATATATTTTCACGCCATTAAACTTAGGGGGTAAATATTTTGATAAAAACTAATGTGGCAAAGAGACCATACGATACGAGATGCCAACATTAAGAAGCAAGATTGCCATAGTAAGGTCATTGGTATTTTGACATTTGCAATTGATAATTTGACAAATGTGAACAATAAAATGAAATTTTTATAATTCTATGCGGATACAGTCGCATGGGAACAGCTAGTATTAATATAGATAAAGAAATATATTTTACCTCGTTTTATATCTTTGTTCGTCGGGCATCAATTCCACTTTATTTTCAACATTCTTTTTTATAACAACTTGATTTCCGTCTACCCACGTTATCTACGAACAGAAAAACACAAACTATAAAATTTTAATAGAAAGTATATTTTAAAATCGTAAATAAAAATGTATCACAAAAGCAATTTTAAATGGAAAATGTAAAGGAAAATCTCACTTCAGCCGGCGGTTTTCCACCTTCGGAAACGCACTCGATATCCACAGGTTGGTCCTCTGTGGCGTCAATGAAAGCCCCTTGTACGATCCGAGGGGGATCTGGTGCGATCAACACCGTGAGCTGCGCGTAGCGAGATCGAATTGCCGGCTCGCCTGGAATATAAAGCTGATTGGATGCAACCGACGGATTATGGAATGTTGGAGTATTGGAAGCAAATGTTTGGTGTAAGAATTCCCAATAAGTTTACTCCGCGTTATTTATTTATTAACATGATTATTATATTCAATTTTAATTAAATTATTTTGGTAGTTAATTATTTTTATGTAATAAAGATACAAAAAGAAAAAAAAATTATTTAAATTGAAATCTAGGTAACTATGAACATATATTTCATAATTATTTTACTATCAAATACATGTTAACATAAAATTACCTACCAAAGACATTTAAATATATAGACGAGGCATATTAAATAATATTTTACCGGTACTCTCTCTGGAAGGTATCAATTTTAGGTATCACATGTAATAAAACATTTTACAAAATAAAATACAAACATTTTACATTGTTTAATGACATCTATTGGCAATAATTTAAACATATGGTCTTAAGGATTTATCAATAGATAGCGTTAGCTATGTTTATGTGAAAAATGTTTCAAGTGAAGTCTTAACTATGCCTTCTCTATATATTTGAATCTCTTTGCCTACTCCTACGGGATCAAACTTACCGTTCAGTCCTGAACTAACTTGGCACTGATATTTGCCGTCGTCATCCAGAGTCACGTCTTTGATGTCTAGAGAATAGTCACCTGCAACCAAATGAGCATATTAAATGATCGTAAATTGTTTTCATTTATTTCTTAATACATAATAATAATCTATACTATTATAATAAAGCGTAAACACACACGTCTTTGTGGCGTAAGATGTCAGGAATTACAGAATATTTTTGTATAATCCTTTCTTTAATAAAAAGCCCTACACTTACGTCACGCTTTAGGCTATACATTTTCACGCTATTAAACTTAGGGGGTAAATAAATTGGATTTATGACCCCAATGTGCGAAAGACACCATATGCTGCTGCCAACATCACGGAAGCAAGATTGCCATAGTAAGGTCATTTGTATTTTGACATTTGCAATTGAGAATTTTATAAATGTAAACAAGAAAAAAAGTTTTTATAATTCCATGCGGATGAAGCCGCACGGGAACAGCTAGTATAATAATAATTAAGATTCTGTATTGTATAATCATTATTTACAAGATCAATACCGCTTTAGTAGGAAATCCTGTGCTTAAGGAGCTAATGCCTTCCCTTTCAGGTTCATTTAACAACAAAAAGATACTAAAGTATCGAAGCTATATAAATTACAGAAAAAAATAAACTTACTGTTAATTAGCAACTATAAATTAATCTTACTAATCTTACTATCTTGCTCTTACTAATATTATAAATACGAAAGTTTAGATAGATGGATGGATGTTTGTTAGAGTTTGTAGCCTAAACGGCTGAACGGATCTCAATGAAATTTGGTATAGACGTAGAGG